CTCTTTCAAGTTTTTATTAATTTGAAGAAACTATCTTCAAAATAATATGTAGATAAAGAGAAACATTCTTCTAAACCCCAATCCACCAATGCTCCTTTATGATTAAACAATCCAAAAATATATATGATGAAGAGAATACAAATCAAAAGACTCATTCGGTCCTTTCAACACCATAAAACTTCTCTTATCTTTCTTTTTGTGGAGATAATCCATTATTCCATGGAAAATATTATTATTTTCATTAAATTTCTACCAATCACAAAGGCTATTTGGAAATGAGAAACGATCTAGGGATGAAGGTTTTAATTTATATATAATAGTGTTTGAAATTAATTTGTAAGTAACGTTGCACAATCCAATGGCCTAAATTTCTCAAACTCTAGTGGGTTGGGAATTTTGGGGAGAAAGAAATAAAATTTTTGGGATGAGGATTTCAATGTATATATAATAGTGTTTGAAATTAATTTATAAGTAACGTTGCATAAATTGAATGGCCTAAATTTCTCAAACTCTAGTGGGATGAGAATTTTAGGGCGAAAGCAATAAAATTGTGGTTAAGCTCTTCCAAAAGATGTGAATATCTAAAGAAATGTTCCCTAGTGAGCGCACTCCACTGAAAAAGAGGAAGTTGTCCTATCATTGTGTATTAAGAGGAAATTAGCCGGAAGTCCTTAAAAAAATATTCTCAATAGTTATAAGGAATGGCGAGTTTTGTCATTTTACTAAAAGTTCTTGCCCTGTCACTGTGTATTAAAGGGAAATTAGCTGGGAGCCCTTAAAAAAAAATATTCTCTATAACTATATAAGGACTTACGAGTTTTACCATTTTACAAAAAGTCCTTGTGCGTTAGCTAAGTCTAGATTCTCTGTAATGGTATTGCTTAGGAAAACTAATAGTAATGGCGACGCATTGATCTGCACAACTTAGTTATATTAATAAGCAACAAATTAGTTATATGAATAAACAACCACTTAGTTTAAAATAAACCGAACAACAAATTAAAACAAGAATGCATACATCTCACAACGCATACACTACTTACACATACAACTTATAAAACTTATTTACAGTGCTTAGTTACATTAATGAGCTAAAATTTAGAAAAGAACAAGTATTTCATATAATTTTACCATGAAGTTAGACAATTTAGAAAAACTTATTTGCATAACTTAGTTACACAACTTAGTAAAGCAACCAAGTTAAAACAAAATGAACGTATAAAACTTAAATCTCTGGTGATACCATTTGCCATCACCAAACAATTTTTCATATTTTTCATTTTTTGTTTCCATAATTATTAGGTTACATTATAGGGGAAGGGGAGTAACCAAAATTGTATGTGTGTGCTTTGTTGCATATGTGTGTGTATGCAGGTGTGTGATTATGTGTGTTTGCTTGTGTGTAGAGCTTTGACGATGGTAACGGCGGAGAGCAGGAATGGAACAGATTTAATAGAGAGAAACAATGTTAAATGAATTTAACGAAATGAAGGCAAGATAAAGAATAAAAGACTTTTAACAAATTGTCAAAATTCACCTTTCCTAATTTGAAAGAGAATTAATGGCGAGAAATGTTTAGCAAATTGCCCGATGTATGAATTAGATTTGCGTCTTTTATAAATATAATAACTCTTACCTCATATCTATTTGTAGACTTTTATTAGAATTCCAATTTTTTTTTTTGTCCTCTATAAAGCAAAATGCATAAGAAAATTGATAATATAAGTTTAATTTTCTGAAAAAAAAAGTTGAATTCGAAAAAAAAAATTGTATCGAAAATGCATAAAAGTACGTATCCAAATTCCGTTCCATAAAATAATCGAAAAAATTGAAATGTAGAACTTCCGGAGTGAAAATCAACTATGCGAGTGTTATTTGCGAATGTTTAAAAAATAGGCATTTTAGTTTACCCTTTTGCCTTTTTTTTTATCTTTATTTTTTTTTCAAAAAAAAAAAAGAAAAAAAAGAAAAGAAAAGTACACTGAATTTCAATGAAACTAGAAAAGCGATTTTAGTTGTTGAAATAGCGCTTTTAAAAAAAATTGAATCCTGCCCAAAACAATTGTAATGGGTTCTTTCTTATCGGTTTGCTCATATTATCACAGAACAAAAGAAATTTGTTGCTCCCACTCCACTTTCTCAATGGTATGTACTTCTTCCCCATCGAATTATCCCTTCTTTTATTACAAAAAAAAAAAAAAAAAAAATAAAAGCTTATCTTATCTTCAGTTATGGTCTCTGATTATCTCCCCTAATTATCTCTTGAAATTTCAGTTATACCTTTCAATTTTATTTTTCTTACATGTATTGGCTATGGTGGAAGTTGGGGTTATCTCTTTTTGTTGAAAGGGTGAGCTGTATTCGCCAATTAAACTAAGATAAGAAATAAGTCAATGGTTGCTCTCAATTTTGTTTCACTTTTGCATTAACTGATTAGGGAATTTTTTTTTAAATCAGTTGGACTATGCAATGCAGGATAGTAAGTTTAGGTCAAGATGCGAAGGATTCCGTCGAATTTTAAACTTTTAAGGCCTCGTTTGGTTGGGAGATTAGTCATAATAAATAAATGGATATTAGTTAGTGTTTGGTATCCCAATAACTTGTCGGGTTGATCCGCAGACATTATATTATTATGGCTTATTTGCTTCTAGGGCCGTTTTCATTGGATCCTTCCAGGTCCAATCCTTAGATTATTTAATCTTTTCTTGGTTAATCTTATCTTGGCATCCAAACGAGGCCTAAGGATATGTAAGAGAGATGGGCTAAAACATAGAAGTCTATCCACTACTTGAATCCAATGCAAAACTGTTATCATATATTGAGTTAAGTAGTTTTGTAGATGCCAAGCATTTGCGGTACTTGAATCGACATGAATTCTTGGTCTTGTTCGGTGTAACTATGTAACCGTTGTGTCAGTCGAGTAATTAGCAATTTAGCACTGAATCGATTCCTGTAAACAGTTCTTGATCGATGTATTCGTTTTTTTTTTTTTTTTTTTTTTTTTAATGAAATAGCCTATAATTGTGGATTTTGTTTTACCGAATGCGAATGTTTTAATAATTGACACGTAAAGTTTTTGTGGGTGTTATTAGGTGATCGGAGAACACTTTGGAGACTCTTCTTACACCTCATGAAAAGATTGGCTTCTCCGAACCTCGGATAACAAATATCCTTCATGCGGACACTGCCTTTTGTTACATAGATCAAACGGAGCTTTTTTACGATATGTTGTCCTTCACAAAAACATTCACCACTGTCCCCTCTCGAATTCCACGCGCTTTCCCACACCCCCATGCTCCCTTGCTCGTAGCGACGAGGAGCAGTATCGAAAATGACAACAATACCCCCAACTTGGACGGCTTCGATGCGATGCCACCTGTCCAACAACCGCCGCCCATAACCCCACCAGGTTCAGTGGAAATACGGTTCAAAAGAGGTTCGAGGCGAAGAAAGCAAGAAGGCGACGGCGATACGAGTAGAATCGGGTCTAAGAAGGCTCCGGTTACAAAGGATTGGGAGTCGATGACTCTCAACGAGAAGCTCTTGGAGCTGTATGTGGGTGAAAAGGGCGCCCTGTTTTGGCTTAACAAGTTTGCGTATGCTTCGATATTTATTGTTATCGGGGGTTGGATTGTGTTTCGATTTGTTGGTCCCGCACTGAATTTATACCAGCTGGATACTCCTCCGTTGGCTCCAACTGCAATGTTCAAGGAATAAATATTAGCCAAACGTATCTCAAATGTTAATTCGACAGTCGAAATTTTTGTATCGTGGAACTACGCTCGAGTTGCTATTATGTATTATGTGTTAATTAAGTTTTATCTATCTTATACTGCTGCATTCTTTGGTTGTAATGATACAGAGTAAATAACATGGTGTTAATTTAATCAACATACAATGGTCAATAATTCTCTAGTAATTGTTGCATAACAATTGCACCTGTGTAAATTTTCCAGTCCTATACAATGCATTTTTTTTTTTTTTTTTTTTATATATACATGCATTATAAAGTAATACAAATTCTAAATCAGTGAAATATAGGAGGAGTCAATAAAAGGGAGGGACAAGTTAGTAAGAGTGGACCATAAAAAAAGAATTAGGACAATTACATATTTTGGTTCAATAGAAGTGTTTCGACTAAATATTTCAATTTCTACAAGTCTTTTAACTAATTTAGCATATATGTTGTGACTTGTGACTATTTCACTCTTAATTTCATTACCATTATTATTTATATACATAAGTTTAGGGCTGAGGATGGGTCGGTTCGGGTAATTATCGGCCAATTACCTACCCAACTATCCGATTTTGCTGAATATTGAAAATCATTATCGGCCCGATTATTATGAGTCGGATAATGGTTGACAACCAACTTTGTCGAATAAACAATAGATCGGTTGGAGGTATTATCGGTAATATATTTATTAATTTCTTTAATATTTTTTTTTATAATAGTAAGATGTGTTAAAAGTTTTTTAAAAGTTATTTAAAATTTTGTGAAAACTTATGTCGTTAAAATCTTAACTTTAAAATTATGAGTCTTTTTTTATTAAACTTCTAGTAAATAGGACATATGGAAATATGCTCATGACAAGGGACTTAAATGCACACAGGTCCAGACAGTCTCGCAAATAAACCAATTCCAAGTCTTTTGTCTAAAATACCCATCATAATATATTTTTTATCAATTCCATCCATTATACTCTAACTTCAC